ACCTCAAAAATTTCACTGAAGAGGTTGTTTTGATGCCTAAATATCCTCAAATTGGTCATCTCAATATCAAGATGCATGAACATGAGAAAAAAAATTGATTTTGAGTTTTGGAAATAGTGCATCTTGTAACACATTTTTGGACCGTCAATTTTCAAGATTTTCATAGATATGTTCAATCTACACTATTTTTTAAGCTTTAAATTTTATAATTAAAGATAAAAACATATTTCAAGGCTATCACAAAGATTTGCAGCATTGAGATTACATATCTCGATAATATTTGAAGGTGCGATTTATTTTAATTGTTTAGAATCTCGGTTCTATACAAATTGCACCTATATATCATGGAACAGTGTAAGCCCAACGGCCCAGATTGAATCTGGATCGATCCAATGATCACAATTGGTACCATAATTTATTTCTGGTGTCGATCAAGTTGTAATTTTCCGACGAAGTTTGTGTTTAGGCTTCCCAAATAAAGATTGCCATCGAACTCTAGGGCAGAGGTGACAAACGTTATGACTTTTCCTGTTTGATCGTTGAATATATGGGAAATGCTTCCATCTGCCCCAACTTTTACAACAGATGCCCTCTTCTTGAGGTCCACAAACCAATCACATAGCCATGGGAATGTTGCAATGATGTGTTTGGCCACCTTAGATCGATGGATAGTATCTGTACCGTATGACCTCAGCTGAACAAGAAAAAACAGAGAAAAAATAAGAACAAGTTTGTTAGGGACTGTAAGACGTGAGATCAGGAGCTTTGTACCCGTTTTTTTGACCTACTAATTTTATAATTAGTGGTGGAAATAAATTTTAGAGCCATCGTGGGTTCGTATGATGAACTGTTTTTTGAATGAAATTTCAAAATAAGGCTGTACTTTTTTCATAAAGTCTAGGCCTTATAGAAGCAACATCTATTTCCTTTTTTTTTTTTTTTGAGGATCACAAGCGCCATGGAATTTTTGGCTCGCCATTTCATTGATTATCGGTTGCTTGTTCGGTAGAGCAGACCGAGTTGGGCCATTTTTTATTCTAAATTGTTGAGGAAACAAATAGCCGAGAAATTGATTTCTCCAAACTAGTCCTAAATATTTTGCAAGCAATATTGGGAAGTAATGGCCATATTTAACCATTGTGCAACCCCGGCTCATGACAAATTTTTATTTGTCATTCCTACTAAAAAAATTCAGGTAAATGATTACTCATACTAAAACCATGTAGTAATAAGAAGTAATTGTAGGTAGTTTCTAAATTCTAGTTGGACTTTGAGGGACAAAGGTAATTAATAAAGAAGCATCTATTTCAAAATGGTTTTTTATTCTTAGGCTTCTTTATTATAAATCATGACAGATTCAGTAATTTATAATATACAAGTATTAGAAATGGACTCAACCCTTAGTTGGTTAGGGTGATGGGTGCTACAACATGAAGTCTTGAGTTTCATGTCTACTATAAGTAGGATAACCCCTTTCTCACTTATATACCAAAAAAAGTTGACATACAAGTATTTCTTTTAGAGAGAATTAGCCTATTTATGGCTGGATGTCACCAATGATGCTTGAAGGAGAGTAGAGATTTGTAGGTTGCTCGAAAATAAGGTCCCAAAGTATGAGCCCTTACTCTGTATCCAACCCATAAGGTGAGACGAAAATGGTTAAACTGCATTTTTATTAATAATAACAACTTGTAATCAAAGCATTACTCATCACAATTACCATTATGGAACGTGTCAAGAATGTGTTGAGAACTGTTGAGTTAGAATAGTGTTTTTGATAGAAGCAATTTGTACAACTTGTTTTCTGATCAACAGGTCTTCCAAGCACTGCTATTGATTACAAGATATGAGAAGAGGTTTGAATAGGTAAATCAAGTGATTATTTTTTCCTTTGTACTTTTGAGTGCGACACATATTGTTAGATTTCAAAGGAGAAGAGATCTAAGCTAGATGCAACATCCAAAAAATGCATTTTTTTGGCTATGTAGATGGTAACAAGGAGTATAGATTGTGGAATCATACTTATTGTAAGATTATAGTTAGCTTAGATATTATTTTCAATGAAAATTCAGTGTAGAGAAAGAAAGGTGAGCCAGATACTAAAATTGTTGAGGTGAAATGCACCATAAGAACTAGCGAGATGGTGATCAGGACCAAGAGCCTGAAATTGTCCAAGAGATAGAAGAATATTTAGTTGCTATCAAATTAAGAAGACATGAAAACCTAGAAAGGCTACGGTAAAGCTTAATAACTATGTCTTGTCATATGCTTACCTATTAAAAAACAAGCCAATTTCTTATTGTCAGGCATATGAGGTTGACGCAGTCGGTCAATGGAGAGCATCCATGGAATAGAAGATGGAGGCCTTGTAGAAAAATAAAATATGGAACCGAGTTGAATTACCAGACGGGCGAAAGCAATTAGTTGCAGTTAGGTCTTTATAAAGAAGAAATGTTCTAATGATATTGCTAAAAGGTACAAAACTCGTTTGGTTGGGAAAACTTGTGCATGTGACTACTATTTGAGTTGTTTTAGCTATGGCGATTGTTCTTAATTTAGAGTTGGAATAATTATACGTGAAAACTACTTTCTTAGATGGTGACTTAAAGAATAAATTTTTATGACCTAACCTAAAGGTTTTATAGATGAAGATAAAGAGAATTTGGTTTGTTTGCTCAATAAATCATTGTATAGATTATAAAAGAATCCAAGGTGTTGGTATAAATCCATAGATATGAACATTGTGCTTATTTTTGCGGTTATTGTTATATAAACTTTAATATATTGTTTTTGTATGTTGATGAGATGATTGTTGTAAGGCCAAATAAAGAGAATGTTGCAACACGTAAGCTTCGTTGGCTAGGAATTTGAGAGGAAAGATTTGAGAGCGGTTAATCAAATTATAGGGTTGAGTGTATTTAGAGACTAGAAACAATAGAAGAATTTGGTTAATTTAGAAGTGTTATGGAGAAAAGATTCTGCTATGCTTCAATATGCATAATGCTAAACCTATTAATACCCTACCTTTTGTGCATATGAGGCTATATTTGAAACAATGTCCTAGCATTGAAGCATAGAATACATAGATGTCTCGAGTGTTGTATCCATTAATTGTAGGGAGCCTTAGTTTGTTATGGTCAGTACTTGGCATGATACAACATAAGCAGTGAGAGTTATGAGCACGTACATAGAAAATCTTGGCCATGATCACTAGACTACTGTGAAGAGAATCCTTAGTTATTAAAAGGGAATTTGTAATGCTAGTATTCATTTTAGTATGAAGGATTTGAGAATTGCAAGTTATGTTGTTGTAGATTTTGCAAGTGAATTAGATAAAAGAAGGTCTACTATCGGGTGTGTTTTTTATGTTTGAGTGGTGGTGCAATTAGTTAGTTATTGAGGTTGCAATTTGTGGTGCATGTCTTCTACAAAAGCTGAGTATATGTTACTTACTCATGCATCTAAAAAACCAATTTGACTAATCAAGTTGGTGAGTTTGGAGTTGTGAAAGAAGGGATACTGCTTCGTTGTGATAACTAGAGTACTTTGGTTTCAGTAAGTAATCCAACTTTGCATGATAGGACTAAGCATATTGATATTTAGTATTAATTTTGTCCATGGTGTGGTAGAAGATGAAATAAATTTACTATAGAAAATTTATACTGACGACAATCTAGTAAATACATTGTCTTTAAGCCCATTTAGTAAGAGGGAGTTCACTTGGAATAAAATTTCATAAGGTCTTGTGGTTATTTGATGATTAGTAAATAGCAGGCAAAGAATTCTTGTAGCAGCCTAGTCAGAATAGAAATAATGCCTTCAAGTGGGAGAATGTTAGTACATGACTCCTGTTTATTAGTTGTAAGGAACTTAATATTTTTAATTATCTAGTGATAGCCTTAGGCTTGAGAAGATCCTATTACATAAGAAAGGTAAATCTTTTTAGATTTGGTTAGTTATTGAGGTTGCAGTTTATGGTGTATGTCTCCTACAAAAGCCGAGTATATGTCACTTATGTATCTAAAGAGTCGATTTGGGTAATCAAGTTGGTGAGTTTTGAGTAATGAAATAAGGGATACTGCTTCATTGTGATAACTACAGTACTTTGATTTTAAAAAGGAATCCAACCTCGTATGATAGGACTAAGTATATTGATGTTCAATATCACTTTGTCGATGATAAAGTAGAAGATGAAAGAAGGGATACTGCTTCATTGTGATAATTACACTACTTTGATTTTAGCAAAGAATACAACTTTGTATGATGGGACTAAGTATATTGATGTTCAGTATCACTTTGTCTATATATAGTAAATGATGGAAAATTTTTATTGTAGACAATTCATATTGACGACAATCTAACAAATATGTTGACTAAGTCCATTTAGGAAGAAGAAGATTACTTGGAGTAGAATTTCTTTGAGTCTTGCAGTTACTTGATGATCAATAAATAATGGGCCGCAATTTCTCGTAGTAGACTAAGTCCGAATAGAAATAATGTCTTCAAGTGGGAGAGTTAGTACATGGCTACATGTTTCCTAGTTGTAAGGGACTTGATATGTTTCATTATCTTGCGATATCCATAGGCTTGGGAAGATCGTATTACATAAGAAAGGTGAATCCTTTTGGATTTAGAAACTCGTGATTTCTATAGGGGAGAAATAGAGACTTTTCTAACTTGTAATAAGTGGGAATGAGATAGTTATAGCTCATGTAGGTATATTCTTGTGTTCCAAACTGTGTAGAGAGAAAGAAATGGTACAAAGATAGAGAGAGAAAAGGGTAAGCTCTTGGGGCCTTGGGTTGGTCTTTTCGAATAAAAAAAAAAGAAAAAAAAAGAAAAGAAGAAAACAAAAAGAAACAAAAAAAAGAGAGGCTTGTGAGAGAGTTTGAAATCTTTATATTCTCTACACCTACATGTCGTTTTTCTAATTAGTAGAGAATAAATTTGTTGCTATGTGGATATAAGCGATTGTCGCACTATGTAAATCTTTGTGTTTCACTCTTTTAATTTTTTGGAGAGTTTTTTTTCCCTTTTGTTTTCCCAAACATTGGTTTTTACTCTTTACAGGGGTGTTGTTTCGTATTATTTGTTAACATAATGTAGCTTTTTAATATAACTATTGATAGTTCAATATATGCTCTTGATAAATTATTATATATTTTATGACACTGGCGGATGCATATTACACTTTTTTTGCGTTTAATGAAAATTTAGAAGAAAATATTTGTCAAGTAGGACCCAGAGTGCTATAAATCATCATATTCGTACGAGTGTTTTAAAAATTGGTGTGGTCCGTATAAGGTTGATGCTCTAAACAATTAAAATAAGGTGTATCTTCAAATAGTGCCGAAATATGTTGTTTTAGTGTTAGAAATTTTTATGATAACCTGAAAATTTATTTTCATTTTAATTATAAAATTTAAATATTAAAAAATAATGTAGATAGAGTAAATCTATAAATACTTAAAAAACTAGAAAATTGACGGCCTAGATAACTCATTATAAGATGCACTATTTCCAAGACTTAAAATTTATTTTTTCTCTTGTCCATAAATCTTGAGGTTTAGATGATCGAATTGCGGATTTTAAAAAACCGGGACAACATCTTCTTATGAATTTTTAAAAGGTGTCTTAATTTGATTGTTTAGAAAGGTGTCTTAATTTGATTGTTTAGAAACTCGCCCTTATATAAACTTTTTCCTTTAAAAATTGGAATTGAGTCGCTAGAGTCAAAATCATTGATCCCAATCCAAATTGGCAATCCCACTAAAATTATAAGAAAAAATAAACAAACTAAAAACAACATAAAAACGTTGGATTAAAAGAAAAGGTGCAGTTTGCGTACGGATGCATCTGTAGATCTAGAGGTAAAGTGTACTTCCAAATTTTATCATGGTATATAATTTTGATGTAAAATGTTCTTAGAATTATCTCAAAATCTATTTTTATTAAATTTTAAATTTAAAAAATGGTTAAAATCAAGTAGATCTATAAACATATGAAAATTTTGAAAACGGACGGTGTAGATAATATGTTGTAAAATGTACTATTTTTAAGACTTAAAATATTTTTATTTTTTATAGTCATACATTTTGATGTCGAGATGATCAATCAAAGGGTTTTTCAACATTAAAACTACCTTTTCTGATGGATTTTTGAGGGGCATCCGTATTTCTACATTATAAGGTAGCATCCTTATATAAACTTTTTCCTAAAAGAAAATGCTTGTTTGATTGAAAAACAATTTCACGACCTCGTCAAAAAAAGGATTTGATTTAAGTATTTTTTCGATTCAAGAAGTTTTTATCGAAAAAACATTTAATATTTGCTAATTGGAATATGGCCAAAATTTTGTTGAAATTAGTTGAAATTTAATTAAAAAATGAAACAATTCAAAATATGATTGATTCGAAAAACATTTTTAGGGCTGATTATTAGCATTTTGGCAAAACAATAACTTTCACCAATATTTTGGGCTGATTTTGACCCCATTTTGGGTAGATCTCCCAATTTTTGGGAAAAAATGGACATTTTGGCATCTATAAACACTTCAAAGTTTGCTTTGATTATAAGCTAGGTTGATTTCCTCCTGATTCAAAATTTCCGTCAAATTGTTAAAACATTCAGATACAATTCAAAAAATCTGATTCAAATGTTCGAATCAATTTTGCCTTACTCAAAATGCGATTTTTTAAATACGATAATTTTAAAATTACTTGAATCAAATTCATTGTGTCTAATTTGAAATGTTTGAATCAAAATGTCTAAATAATAAAATATGGTTTATAATGCTCTAGAAGGGCTTTTGTAAGGGAAAATTTTAGTTTAAGGGATCAAATTACCTTACAAAATCATATGAAAGTATCCTATTTCACATTATTTAACATTAAGGGTATACCTTTTTAAGTTTTATCTCACTGAGATACTTTTAAAATAGGGTGCGCTTTGTATAGACCTTCAAATAGTGTCGAGAAATATGGTTTCAATTATAAAAATCTCTTTGATAGCCTTAAAATATATTTTTATATCTAATTATAAAATTTAAAGTTTTACAAATAATGTAGATCGAGTAGATCTATGAAAACTTGAAAACCATTTTCTCATGTCCATACATCTTGAAGTCGAGATGATCAATTTTGGGATATTTGAACATCAAAACAACTTCCTAGTGAAATATTTGAAGTGCACCCTAATTTGATTGTTTGGAGCCTCGCACTTATATAAACTTTTTCCTTTAAAATATGCTTGCACTCATTGGGAGTGGGAACCTTGAATAACCATGGGTGAGGTTTGTATAAGGTACCCACCCTATACTATAGAAGCAAGGCACATCGCAAAATTTTACTAGGAGATGTAGTTCTAATGTTGAAAACTTTATTATAACTTGAAAATCTATATTCAAGAAATTTAAAATTTTAAAAATAGCACAGTTCGGACAGGTTTATAAGCACTTGAAAATCCAAGAAAATAGATGGTCCGGATGATTTGCTACCAGATAGACTATGTTTAAGACTTAATTTTTTTTTGGTTTATTTCAATACATCTCGAAGTCAAGATGATCAATTGGAAGGTTCTCGAACTTCTAAACGCTCTTTTCCCATTGGATTTTTGAGGTACACTTTAGTTTTATAGTATAAGGCTGCAACATTATATAAAGCTTTTCCTTTTGATAATTTGCCCTCATTTACCTAAAAAAAATGACGAATACCCATGGTTGTTTCGATTTAGCAACATGGAGCCAATGTTTACAGTGACAAATTGTGATATGTATTGCTGACCCTGAACAACCAGGGTATTATCATTATTTGGCGATTCATGTTGTTAACACTGAACAATTAAGGGTATTTTTGACATTTGTTTAAGGCTATTTAATTAGAGAAATTACCAAAATGTGCTTACTTTTTAGTGTTAAAAAAATCGTAATAAAGGCAATTTTGTCAATTTTTTATTATATATTTTTAAGAGCTAGTTGAGTGAATAGAACTTTAAAATAGCACTCCTAGTGTTAATATTTTTAAGAGCTAGTTGAGTGAATAGAACTTTAAAATAGCACTCCTAGTGTTAATCAGGTGGTTCGACACTTCGAATGATTTTGTAAGATAATTTGACCGCCCTTGATACTCTGTCTCTCTGGGTAACTTTGGAAATGACTTGTTCTATTTAGTGATCCAGACAATTCATGCAATTCATGTGAGCTCGGCCAGTTCCCTAGTCCGATAGTAAAAATGGATAGGAGGTGACCATTTTGATCCAATTCAACCGATTCCGAGTTGGATCAATGATTGTTAAACCAATAAAAGGAATTATATTCACTGAATTTATTGTATTGATAATATCATTCCCTCTGCAAATTATACTTCATAGATGTAATCAGTACTTGCCCAAGTTTTTTTACTCCATTTAATATTCATAATTCGCTACCTTATCTAATTTTCCTCTAGTTTTTCACCACCAATTTAGACCAAAACCAATTTAGCACAGTTTTTCGATTTGCCGATATATATTTGTTCATTGATCTTGTAACTATGTTCTCCACTTTAAGAAATGACAATATATATAAAGCGACGGTTTATTTTTAGTACAAGGAGGTCACAATCATTTTGTTCGTCAGATCTCAGATTAGGTGGTTAAGAGTGTGTCATTGACTAGAATCACAATTCAAAAAACAAAAATTTATCGAATTTTATAATATACCCCTATCCATCCAATTTGATATCTAATAGCTATCAACAATTGGGACCTCCTTATAATAAAGATAAATGATCTCATAGTATACAATCCCTTTAAAAAATTCATACCTCTAATAGTGCAATCCAAAAGGATCCATCTTCTGCCAGGTTGATGTTGTCAGGGCCTCCAGGTAAATTCTCAACGAAAACCTCGGTGGGTCTGTCTTCATTGAGCCAATGTTTGAGGCACCGGAATCTGACACACAAAAGGCCCTCCAGCTTAAATAATTTCATCATATTTTTTCGATTCCTTGTGGTAATAAAAAGTTCAATTGAAAATCTACTTATGCTATCTTTTGGAATTCAGCTCAAATGGGACATTGGCGGTAGTATTGACAAGCCCTATGATGAGTTCCCTTACTCTATTCTCACCAAAAGATAGGGGCCCAATTCCCACTGACTTATAACATTTTTTTAGAATGGCCTGAGGCCTTGACGGTAGTATTGCCAAGTCTCATGGTGAGGTATTTGACTCGATTCTTACCAAAGGGTAGGGACCCAAATCCTAATGACATATCACTTTTATAACCATTGTTTTATTTGTGTTCTTAGGAAAGGGGCTGGGGTCGTGGTGGTAGCATCCCCACACCCAGTTACCACATTCCCAATTAACACTCTCAAAATGTAACTCCCTAATCTATTAAAAAAATGGTTTGAAGCTTGTCTTCCCCATTGAATTACTAAAAAATAATAAATTCAAAAGACTGTGGTTCTAAGCATCAATATGGGTCTTGGTTG